ATTCCTGTGATTACTACTTACAATTCAGAGCAGCTGGCTCAGGTATATATTCACGAGATTGTCAGACTTCACGGTGTACCGGTATCTATCATATCTGACCGGGATACACAGTTTACCTCGCGGTTTTGGAGGGCTATACATCGAGAGTTGGGTACTCGTGTGGAGTTGAGTACAACATTTCACCCTCAGACGGACGGGCAATACGAACGCACTATTCAGATATTTGAGGATATGCTTCGTGCGTGTGTGATGGATTTTGGGGGTGCTTGAGATCAGTTCTTACCACTTGCGGAGATTGCTTACAATAACAGTTGCAAGTCAAGCATTCAAATGGCTCTGTATGAGGCCTTGTATGGTAGGCGGTGCTGGTCCCTAGTGGGTTGGTTCGAACCAGGCGAGACTAGGCTATTGGGTACAGACGGTTAAGTTGATTCAGGATTGACTTCGTATAGCCCAATCTAGACAGAAGAGTTATTCAAATCGGAAGCTTCGTGATGTTGCATTCATGGTTGGTGAGCGGGTATTGCTCCGGATTTCGCCTATGAAGGGTGTGATGAGGTTCGGGAAGATGGGCAAGTTGAGCCCTAGGTATATTGGGCCTTTTGAGATTCTTGAAAGAGTTGGAGATGTGGCTTACAGACTTGCACTACCACCTAGTCTTTCTGCGGTTCATCCGGTATTCCATATTTCTATGCTTCAAAAATATCACGGCGATCTGTCTCATGTGTTAGACTTCAGTTCGATTCAGTTGGACAAGGATATATCTTATGTTGAGCAACCAGTGGCTATTTTAGATAGGCAGGTTCGAAAGCTGAGGTCAAAGAACATTGCTTCCGTAAAGGTTCAGTGGAGGGGTCATCCGGTCGAGGAGGCGACTTGAGAGGTCGAGCATGATTTACGCAGCTGTTATCCACACTTATTCACCAGCTCATGTACTTTTTCGAACTCCGTTCGAGGACGAACGTTTGTTTTAGAGGTGGAGAATGTGATGACCCAAAATATCATCTTTAAATTTAATGATTAATTATGTGATCTAAGCACTATTTACCATTACTCGACTTGCATGTGTAGTCCGTAAAAAATTTTGAAAAGTTTTCAGGTGAAAAATAAATTAAAATTTGAATTGGATGTTTAAAACTTAAGGACCAAAAATGGTCATTTCATTCATTTCGTTTTGGATTTTTGGAGCACGGTTCTTGGGCGATTTTTAGGCGATTTTCATGGGAAAATATTGGGGTAAGTGTTTCTTATCCCATATTGATTATATTTCATGATTCCATACTCATTTACATCATGAATCCGTGAATTTATGGAAGAAAAATCAAGATTTTTGCAAAATCTTCCAAAAACGAAGATCGCACTCAAAGCCCTCTCCTTCAGGTTTGCCTTCTTTGTCTCTTTCATCTCTTCAGAAAAATCCTCATCAATTGCCTTCCATAACCCTTATAACACCAGAGACGATTTCATCGTAATCTTCCATAGACTGAAACTAGAAACCCCGTCAAATTTCTTTAATTCGTACTTTGTTGAAGATAATGAAGACATCTTTAACCTTAGATTATATGTAAAAATCTAAGCCTTGCTATGATACCAATTATTGCGGAAGATCGTGGGTTAACTAGCACACAATCACACATAAAGCAAATAGAGAAGAAAAATCAACATAAGGATTTGACGAGGTTCGGCTAAGCCTAATCCTCATGGCAGAAGCAAAGGGAGTTTTTCACTATGAATGAGAAGAAAAACACAATACAATCTCTAGAATCTCCAACTACAACCCATATATATATCCCAAATAGTTTCAAAGCTATAAGAGAAAGGTTTTCAATTTGACAAGGACAATAGATGTTCCTTTTCCCAAATCTATTAGGATAATGGGTTTTTCCAAACCTATAGGGATCATGGATTTCCTAAAAATAAAAGAAAATAATTCAAGTCACAAAATAATAAGAAAAAAATGCAAATTTAAACTAAAGATGATTATTGAAATAGTACCTGTTCATCAGGATGAAAATTGTGTAGTTATAACTACTTGCCTTACATCACCAAACTGATCAAATTCTGCCTAACTGTCTAGTTCTCTTCTTCCTCGAAAATCTCGTTCTCGTGAAAATTCATATTTTTTGGCTGATCGAATTTGAATTATTTGTGTTGGATTTGTACACCAATGAGGTTTAATTAGGGAGTTAATTAGAAAGTGAATGACAATGAAATGGACGTACGATTTAAGGGGCAACTTGTTTGCGAGCCGTAATTAAGGGGATATAAGAGCTTACGTTCATGCATCAGTAAAGACCTGATGCTGATCGATTAAGACATATCCAGCCATTTTAGCTGACTCATCTTTCCATCTTCTTCGCTCATCTGATAGATTTATATATTGTCCCCATCCTGAGAAGCTGTCTCGAAAGCACTCAATTCTTCCTTTTTAATTTTCGTTGGATTTAAGTCAATACGTTAGTAGCATTAGGAATTTATTATAGTAGGTTAATTTGAGTATCATTTTTAGCATGGTATTAATTAATTAATGCTTATTAGAGAAATTTATCTGTAATTATTCTATAAGTAATTTAATTATGTAAATATTTTTTAGACTATTCATGCGCTCTTTTTGTTCGGTACGTATTTTTCTCTACTCAATGTCGGAAGTGCGTACATCCTTTTTACCCCATCTGATAATCGACAAAATACGGAGAGGAATTGAATATGTTCCTTTTTAATCCTTACTCAATCTTACAGTATTTTTTTTAAAAAACAAATATTACACTTTAAAAAGAGAATCTTTTTATCGTTTCTAAACTTTACAGTTGCTATATATATATATATAATACACACACTAAAAATGCATGATTTTTCACGATTCAATCACCACATTGAACATTCACTTTCGAAGCAACATATATTTATTTTTTAAATTTTAAATCCAAGTCGTGTGATACTTTTCAAACTCCATATCTGTATATCTTGCATAGAAATTCTTCCGCTAGAATTGAACTCATACGTATCTTATGTAATCAACCTTTGGAATATTCATAAGAGAATGTTCATTTTACGACAAGTTGACTCCCTTTTTGTCATAAAAAATTATACAAAGAAAAAATAGTCCGTTTTATGTGTCAAATTATACAAAAAGAAATATATAGGAACTAATTCGTTATATGCCGCACATAGAAAATCTAGACAGAGTCCAAAGCTATACTACAACCCATTGACATTTCTGAACAATTTCAGTTGAAAATTTTAAACTAGTTTTGGAGTCTTCGGTTATTTTGAAGCAATATAGTGAAGTCGGGACGATATTTTGAAATGTAAGTAAGTAGAATTCATAAACAGGAAGCCGCCAAGAACATGACCACTTGCCCTGTGGCCATATATAGTTATCGTTATAAAAGCAGCTACGCAAGTGGGGAAAATTGTTAAAAAATTGGCCCTATAGGCCATGTGTTACTATCATTTTGTAATTGTGCGACGGCTAAAGAACTTTTTAACGTATACATTTAGAAGGAATCAGGAATCTACTTCACTACTTGCAGACTTCTATTGATAATGATGCACGTAAAAGAACCCCCAAACCACCACCACCAATCCTCTTTCTTTTAATTTGTATAATATTGCTTGTGCTTTCAACAATTCAACCACCATTTGTTAAATGTATAATGGAATAGTTTAAAGCTCGAACTTTTCATTCAATTATGTTGTTTTTAATAAAGGGGGTTTGAGGAAAACAGGATATTATTGTTTACAAGTATTTAAAAAATACAATATATATATATATATATATATATATNAAGCGTTAATTCATTTATATTACAAGACGAGTTCTTTGCAATAGCTTTTGTCGAGCATATTGCAATATGAGAATCTTTAACAAATTTCTGAAGATATAACCGTAAGTGTGCAGATGTGAAATCAGAATTTAAAGTTTATAAACTCCAAAAACGAAAGTAAACTCTCATTAAACGTTTGAAGAAAACGCGTGTCTAATATATATCACAACATCACTTACGATCTGACTAGGGAAAACATACTCTCGAGATATGAAAAACCCAGCTGAAGTATGAGTCGTTATGTTCCAAAATCCAAATATATACACTACTTACAATATCCAGAAATGTCATTGAGTAATGAGTTCCCAAATGTCTTCTTAAGTAGTACTAAGTACTAACCTCCAATATGACCGCTAATCTTCTAATGAGCATATCAACCACATTCTTTGCATCGGGAAAAACATGATTTGTTTGCCAATTATGTGCGAGTATTAAGAGCCGAAATTACTGGATGTTGGACATTTAGCATAGTAATTTTCTAATTTATTACTATTTGACAAAGAGTAATATAGAATGTACCATTCAAGATGGAGTAAACTTTATTTTTTGTAATCGATTTTTATATTCTAGTAGTACTATATACAAGTTAAAAATAAAAAAATGAGTCAAGCGTGACAACTAAGAACGACAAGCCTCTCCAAACGCACACTTGCATCATCGTTTATATTATAGATTATCTAGGGTCCTTCTGAAGATTTACGTATGTAAACATAATATAAAATGTCTTGTAGCTCATTTTTTAATCGAATAAAATCAAGCCAAATCTTTATTAGCAAACCAAATAAAGGTCTCTTCTCTTTTTAAGCCATTTGCACAGTGCAGATTGGATTACATTGAATTATGATTCACGAGACTGTTTGATAGCTCATCTTCCGCTCCTACCCCTTTTAATAAAAGATTTTTATTGATTATTTTATTTTTTGAGATAAGCAATGAGAAAATATTGGCACTAATTAACCCATGTATGGTACGACATTGGAGGCCAATTATATCAAACATTTTTGTCTCTATTTTTGTTCTTTTGGAATTGGAACTGAGTTCATTTTGAATTTCTAATCTTAAAACTTTGAGAATTTGGTAATTTTGGTAATGTTCATTTACACTTTGAACAATGAAATGAAAGATAGTTAAATATTTGAATTTGTATTGGGAAACAAAAGCTTGCCAGATTCGTTGAAGTGTTGGAAAAAGATTGAATTCATTAAGTCTCAAAATTCCACAGATGATTTTTTTTGCTATGGAAATGGAGCACTTTTTCCAGATACAGAGAATGATTCTGATTTCACAGATTCATAGTTGAAGAATATACAAAAAAGTTAACCCAAAAAGTTCAAAAAAAAAAAGAAGGTCCCGTTCTCTATTTACAAACAACTCGGAACTATTCAATTTCCCAGTCTTCAGCTTTGCTCTGTCCCTTTTTACGTGGACTTCAAATCGATGCTCAGTATAAACGGATGTTGCAAAAGTTGCTGAGCGCTCCACCTTTTACTGGACTCTTTCTGTAAACAACACTCGATAAAATCTCTGAAATTTCCCGACGTCCCTTCAGGCAAACTGGGCGGCTCACCGAAGCATATGGCGCACATTAGCGTAGCCCAGTCCGGTCTCTGTCCAGGTGGCAAGAACGGAAAGTGGCCCATATATAGTTCCATTAAAGTCAAGCCCAAACTCCAAATATCAGCTGCGTAACCGTTGTAGTTAACTCCATAAGTGTCTGGATCAAACCTTTCTGGGCTCATATAAGCACAAGTTCCAACGTATGAATTGCAAGGATCTAAAGTCCTGCACATGATTTTACTCACTCCGAAATCGGCGATTTTTACTTCCATCTCGCGATTTACTAGAAGGTTCGAAGGTTTTAAATCTCTGTGAATGATTTTGTGATTGTGTAAGTAGTCGAGTCCGCTAAGTACTTGCTTAGCGATTTTTGCTAAGCTAAGTTCGGAGAAAGTTGCTTGTGATTTTAAAAGACTTTCTAGTGTGCCGACGTTCATGTACTCCATAAGGATACCGATGTCGCCGCCGGGCATGTCGATGACACCGTGGCACTTGATGACGTAAGGAGAATCCGTCCGGCGAAGGATGGAGATTTCACGGAGGATTTGACGGCGAATCTCGGGGTCGCTATCGCCGTGAACGACTTTGAGAGCGTAGATTGCGGATGTGCGTTTGTGGCGGACTTTGTACACAGTTCCGCCGTTTCCGTGACCGAGAACCTTAAGCTTTTCGAGTTCCGAGATGGAGATAGTAGTGGTAGGAGCAGTTGTGGTGGTGGAGATGGAAGGAGGGAGGGGTAAGGGGAAACGAGGGCGGCGTTCGGAGGGTTCCGGCAAGGGAAGTCTGAGATTGAGCTGTCGACGTTCTCGGACTAAGGCCATGTGGTGGGGTGAATCGGGTCGGGTCCGTTTGGATTTGTTGGAATGGAAATGGATTCTTCTCCTCTTCAGTGAAATTTGTGTTTATATAAGTGGGGAGGAGAAAGCACGTGGGAATAGTGGGGACAGACATAGCCACCCCACCATGTTAGGAAGGAGAGAGGATATGGGGCAGGAAGGTGTGCGGATAAATGTTGTAGATGAGATTTCATGAACCTTTCTTCTTCTTTTTTTGAGGGGGTGGGGTCAGGATTTCATGAACCTTTACGTTAAAGGTTTTTGGCCTTTTTCACGATTTTCTTCTTTTTTTAATGGAAAGTGGTGAACTGAGCTGGAAAATTAATCTACATGTGATCTAATTAAATAGGACGAAAAAATCTAAACCAACAAGGAAGTTTAAGTTGCGCTCATTGAAATGATTAATCCTAACTGCCATTTCTTGGCCAGCCTTCCATTTAATTAAATCCAAAAATAGCATGAAGTAAAAGTATTTTACTAGACTAACTCAGAATTACAATGTTTAATACGATTTAATCTATTTTTGAAAGGAATTGTTGTGCTGCGTACTAGGAATGTATGGTATGTTTAATAAGAATCTCCCTCTTTCTGTGTTCTAGGAGTAGCTTGTCATCATAAAAATTGGAGTCCGTTTTATTAATATCAGAAAGAGAAAATATATAGTGCTAACAGAGTTCAGAGCATACGCATCAAACTTATATTATTAAAGCATTAAATTTGGGGACTAAAGCATTAAATTTGGGGGCAAAAGCTGAAACTTTTACTAGAATTTACATAGTTAGAATTCAACAAAAACTATTTAAAAATCATAGTTTTTTAATCAATAGTATTTTAAATGTTTAAATGACAATAAATAATGATTAGATTCTCCGAACGAATAACTGAGCTATCTTAGGCTAAGGGGTGTCAATTGACACCTTTTCACCGAAAAATTATATCGTGTAATTAAGTCAAAATTTTATTTTTATGTGTTTATACTATATATAAAAAAAATTTAAATTTTTTTATATGTTATCTTCTTATATTTTAACACTATTTAGTGAAATTTCTGGTTCAGATATAGCTCCGAAAAATAACATTATTTACAAATGCAACCAAAAAACATTACTCCACAAATGGTTGGGTGGTTTAGGAAGGAGAGAGGATGAGACATAAGAGAGAAAGTGGGCTGGTAGACCTTGATGAGATAAATCTTTACGCCAAGGTTTTGGCTCTTTCTTAATTTTCTTTTGTTTTTTCTCAGAGAAAGTGGAGCAGTGAGTTGGACGAATTTATTACATGTGATCTAAATAGGATTAATTAATATAGTAGTAAGAACAATCCAAATAGCCACCAAATTAATTCCAAACAAGTCATTTTTTTTCTCTGTTTTTTGTGAACAAGGAAGTTGATTTTGTACACTCATTATGTGGCTAATCCAACAAAAGAGTGGTATCTTGGCTTCATTTATTTGACCCAACAATTGCATAATGTAAATATGTTTCACGCTAACTTATTTTCTAGTCGCAACCAAGAAGAGAACAAACTGAAGAATATTTATGTTTACTACTACGATTTAACCTTTTTTTAAAAATAATTTGTGTTGTGGCTAATTAAAATTAAAATATTCTCGTTAATTTGACGAAAATTTTATTTTCTTTGTGGATTTATGATGTAGCTTATCTGCACAAATGACATCTATCTATCCAGAAAAGAACAATGGGTTAAATTAAGGATCATAACATTTATTTGTTTTATGTGAATCTTAACATTGATTTCTCATTTTTTTTGAAATGTTACATTTACATTTTTGAAACTGAGTAAAAGTAAGAGTTGATCGTTCATATGATCACTCAACTTTGTGTAATTGAAGCTAATTAGGTGAAGTAAAGTGACTTTTATAAAACAAAAAAGAAATAGATGATCATGGAAGCTAATCGGGTATAAAAAAGTGACTTTTGAAAGACAAATAGATGAAATTGATGGCCAAATATTATTCAAAGTTGATTGATCGACGAGCAATCAACTCGTAAAAGTAAGTACAATCACAGTGTCATAGTAAAAATATTGTATAAACTTCTTGAAATAATTGTAGTTAAAAAAGTTATGTAAAATTTTAAACAGTAATATATATGTCTTATTAAATGGGAGAGACGCTGTAAACAAACAAGAAATCTTTTTCTTTTGGCTGAATTACTTGATGTGCATTTAATTGCTAATTTTGTGTTGCATATGGTTTTTGGTTACGTGCACGTTGCTCTTATTCAATGCTTCAGTACATCTTCGGAAAATAGAAGTCCTTTGCTGATAAATATGTCAGTAGGAAAAACGCTCGAGTTATTTTCCCAATGGGAAACATGTTTTTGGTTATTTTCTTGACATTTTATTTCATCTGCAGACAACTTAGAACGGATAGTACTTTGGTGGATGACTACTCAAACAATTTTATTGCATGATAGTCTTTAAATTATGTTTTATAGTTAAAAAGACTATCACTTTTGGAATTTGACATCAAAGTCTAAGCAAAGAATGAATTTTCTTTTCTTCAAAGCTCCGGGATAAAGATATAATTTTTATTAAAATTTATTTTGAAAAATCAAAAACAATGGTCCCTTCTTTTTTTATATATTTAGTATAGCATTCATTTTTTACTGTCGTTGCCTGCTTAAGGCTAAATCAATTTTATCGTCATATCAAGTGTAAGAGCCCTAAAGTGTATTAATCAATATAAAATCGAAGACAGTGACTATTATGCTCCGTTTGTCTATAATATTTTTTCCTTTTTCTCAAAAAAAAATATCAAATGTGTTTGTCCTGCAAGTTTTTGAAAACTTTTCAAAAATAAGTTTTTCAAAAACCAAAAGGTGGTTTTGACCACTTTTCCAAAATTTTCTGAAAAACTTTTTTTCGGACTCACAAAACTGTAACATTTTTTCAAGTTAATATATGTCTAAACATAATTCCAAATCCCAAATGTCATTTTTCAACTTAACTCCAAATACTATTTTTTTTTTCATCAAAATTACAATTTTATCCAAACGCCTGCTAAATTTAATTTTGTAGCGATAAAAAAGTGATGCGACTTTGCCAAATTAAGTATCATAGAAATAATATTATATCAACCATCATCGTGTCTCTTTTATATTTTCTTAGTAATTTTCTGTTATATTAAAAAATAAAATGGATTGACGTTTTGATTTAAAAAATGTTTTGTAACTTTTTATGATAGTTAACTAAAGTTGCGTCAAATATCAGTTTCATCAAACAACCAAGAATGCACTAAACATGCCGCTAAAGGTTGCCGTCTCTTGTTTAGAAGACAGAAAAGTGCTACTTTATGTTTATATCTTGGCAAATTTAACTAAGATCAATTTATTAACGTTACGACTTACGACTCTTCCTTTTCATATTTCCGTTTTAATATTTTTTATTTGTTTTGGAAATTTAAAATTTAAACAAGTAATTACCAAAAGCTGTAGGGAGAGCATATGGCAAACTATCAAGTAATACCTGCTTTGGCAACAGACAAAGACGGCTATATTTTATGTCATTATCTCGTAGTGAAGTTCTCAGCATCGTCCAGGAACGATGTTCACTGAATAGAGTCAATCTTTCCTTTCAAGTAATTAATTAAAACTTTTACTAGTAACAGGCTAGCGCCTTGTATTGTAAAAAATTGTTTTAAAAAAAAAGTTAGCGCCTTTGTCAACATCTTATGTTGGGGGCTGCTTGTGAATTTTTCTCATCAGTTGTTCGTTGAAACTTATATTTTTATTGGGAAAATAAACTCAGCTCCTAAATCATTATCCCGTCACGGAGGGGAAAAAAAAAAAGAAAAAAGAGCTAAGTACTATTAATAACATCATTAAAGAATAGAGGTAATTAAGCCAATATTAAAAATAAATTATAGGTGAAATAGCTATCAACGAAATATGTTACTCCATTGGACCAAGTCAGCTCAAAGACATTCATAACATGATAGTAATATTTTCTATTTTCAATCAAACTCATACGACTTTTCCCACAAGATCTCACGCAATTAAGAGTAACTCTATACCTTATGTATAGCTTCTTCTTTTTTCAGCTACTAATATTGTTGTACTTTGTCCGCATACCTAACAATTATTAGTAGATATTACTGTTTGGGTTATAAAATGAGTAGTTTTTTATTTGATTTTGGGAGACGGATTGGGTGAGATTTGAAAATAATTGTTTGAATTTGATTTTCAAAAAAATCGTCGAACTTCATAGTTATTTATCTATTTATGAGTCTAGCATGAAACATGATTAACGTCATGACTTTTGACTTATATAGATAAAAGAAATTGAACAAAATTGCAGCAAAAGATTCTCGATTAAGTGATTATAATATTCACTAGATTGTATCTAAATATGTTTAGTTTCTAGATCAAACACACGAGATTTGTTCATTTAGAGATTTATTTTTGTCGGCTAAATTTATTGCTTACTTCAATTCTTGTACTACTGATGGCCATTATAGCTGGTAGTTATGCATTGTGGGGTTATTATCCATTGTCATCATCTAACTGTACGCACATATCCAATTTTCTATAGTAGCTGGGACACGGCTATATAATTTCATTTACTAATATAATAGTACTAACAAAAATATTAATTCTATTCTAAAGATTACGTACAATTATACCAATGATTACTTACTGAAAAACAAATGAAATGCATGGTTAGGTGTGCATTTGCTAGTAATTGATTGTGACGCCCTATAATTTATTTTCTCGTGTTGTCGTATTACTTGAATGAGAATATGAACGAGTAGTTTTTTATTTCCCCCTTGATATATCTGTTATGCGATGCAGCTAAATTAATTATGTAGAATCACAATCTCATAATTAGTTTTGCGAATTGAATGTTTAATAAGTTAGGTAGACAACTTTGCAATTTAAATAGAGAGAGAGTGGAAGCCAACTATTTTGAAACATGAGTTTGAACTCCAAAAAGGAAGTAGCAAGATGCATATGATCTCTGAAACTTCCAGTTCATGACAACCAAAATTCACCAAAATAACTTAAGGATATTAATGCTGCCAAATACACTGCTTGATTAACAATCCAGGGAGTAGCTTTCATTTATTTTCTAAAGCACTATTAAACCGTTTCTGGTCTTTAAGTAATAAGAATAGGG